AGACATCGCAAATAAATAAATTAGAAACACTCAGATCTGCCAATATGCTTGAAAAAGTAAACTCGCTGATGCAGTTGTGGATGCAAGTGTGGTTCAGGGTGAGCATTGGAATCCGAATTTTTTTAGGTTAGTTATTCATTTTACAGACGGTGCCCGTCGTCAAAATTTATTCATGCCCACCCATACAAAAAAAATATGTTGGTATATATATGTGCTAAGGGCCAGCATTTGCAATTTCATGACACGCCATGATATTTCACCATCGAAATGGGGTTGCCATTTTAATCAATATCTTGTAAGGTACATCAATTCAAATTACATTTGCCATTTTATCAAATATCTACCAGATGTAGGAGCTGATCCCACCCCAGCACCAACAAATGAAGAACGAAACAGACATTGGCAGAAAACGATACAATGCAGTAACATATTAAAGAAATGTGGTATTCAAGCCCAGTCCAATTACAGAAGAAATTATACTTTGTATCTCATCATATGAAAGGGGATCAGAGAGCTGAGTTCCAGTTGAAAATTACCAACGTTTCGCAATAAAAAGAAGAGGAAGCATGAATGGGATTAATTGGGAAATATCAACAAACAGAACGAGGGCAAAATAAAGGAAGAGAACAAAATGGACCAGATTGAAACAAATAATGGAGTCCCAGAGTGCAGAAACACGAGAAAAACATACCTGAAAATCTGGGTGTAAATGGAATTTCATGGAAATAACAAAGCACATTGTTAGAAAGAAAAACCCTAATCAGAAAAAGATCAAAACACAGTGATGAAAGGATTGTCCACTGAAAAGCTATTTCTGAACTTCACGTGTTCATTAGCTTCCTCTCGCAGAATGCAATGCGATACTCCTCTCAGACAATTTGCCTTCAAGCTTCAAATAAAATAAAATAATTGGCAATTGCCTTTTTAGTCCGTTTAAAATTTAAACTTTAAAAAAGTTTTAAATAAAAAGTTTTAAAGATTTTAGTCCTTTTAATATTTAAACTTTTAATTTTTTAAAATCATACATAATGTTTAAATTTTGTTCATCTTAGTAGTACGTTCAAAATTCAATGTTAAATTTAAAAAAATTAAAAATGTAGGTATTAAAATATACCAAAAATGATAGTTAAGTACTTAACGCGGTTTAAATTTTAACGACGGATACTAAAATGAAACAAAACTAAATAGAATAGTTTGAAAAAAAAAATATACTAAAATAGATCAAAACTGATTTAGATATGATACAGTTACCTACGACTTAAGAAAAAGCTAAAAAAATTACAGTAATTACTACTAGAAATAATTGAAAATGGGGCACAAAAATATAAGTTAAGTTTATTAGATTGCGAATAAATAAACTGGATTAGAAAGATCGTCTTACTTATGTAATATTCGATTCAACATTATAGTGGTTGTAAAAAAAGTTATGTTGGGTTATAATTATATTTGGTAACTCGTTAGTACTTGTAGCATATAATAAAAATCATTTATAAAAAAGATGTGTAGATGGGAGTCTTAATATATGGTTAAATAAATGTGTTTCTTGGTTTTTATTATATTTTTAAAAAAATCGGTAAAAATTATTTAAAAATTATTATTTTATCGGTTTTATTATGTACGTTTTATCGAGTTTGGTAATATATCGGTAAAACGTTACTTAAATATTATTTTTCTACAGGATATATTATCAAACCCGTTAAAGCTCTCAATATAACAAATCGGTAGAAATAATAATATTTTTGAATTTTTTTACCGATTTTGTTAAAAAGATAATAACAAAATTAATAACGTCTTTAATTAATCGTATATTAGACTATCGTATTTGAGACTTTCTGTTGAGGGTTTTTTTTTTTTTTGAGAGACTGAAAGAGAAAGGTGAAGGAGAACGCGCCCAACGTAGCAGCACGCAACTATCTCCAGCGCATTCCCTCTCTTTATATACCCCCAAACTATCCTCCTCAATTCCCTCCACCGCCATCGTCACCCTCTACACCGACCAGACGGAGAAAACGTTTCCCGAACCGTTTCATTGCTTAAGAACACTCCAACACGGCGTACTCCCACGGTTCTCACCTCACGCGGCTCTCCGTCCAATAGGTATTTCCACCGCCGTTGGATCAGCTCCTTTCCCCGTCGACCACCGCTACGGAATCTACCTAATCCTTACCTCCCACGACGTCACCGTTCAGCACTTCTGCCGCGCCGTTTGCGGCTTCCACTACTTCACGTTCTGTCAATTGGGGTCACACTCCTCCCTATGCATGGATCGAGAACTCGGGTAAACAATGCCCCGAGGTCTGCGCTTACCCCTTCGCCGTCCCCGGGTACATGACCGGCGGAGGTCCGGGAGCGTTGGCACCGCCGAACGGAGACGTCGGCTTGGACGGGATGGTCAGTGTGATCGCCCACGAGTTAGCCGAACTAGCCACGAATCCACTCGTGAACGTATGGTACGCCGGTGAGGACCCGACCGCACCGACCGAGATAGGAGATATCTGTGAAGGGTTGTGCGGCACCGGCGGCGTCGGAGGGTATATATCGGTCAAGTTATGAAGGATGGGAGAGGGAAGACGTACAATATGAAGGGCAATAAAGGAAGAAAATTCATGGTGCAATGGGTATGGAGTCCTGTGTTGAAAGCTTGTGCTGGTCCGAATGCTTGTACTTAAAAATTTTAAAATTATTATTATTATTTTTAAAATAATAATTATTTTTTATGTATTATTTTAATGTAATAATAGTTTATAAATATGTAACGACAAAAGTGATGCATGAGTGGTTAGATATTAGTGATAAAGATACTACATTGAGATGGCAATCTGCCCTTTACTCACGTGATAATTATGGTCCTATTTAGGAACATATGTAAAATCATATTTTATAAGAGGAAAGTAAACTTATATGTAGAATTTTATGATAGGAGGATAAGTTTGAATTTTAAAATTTTAGGGATGAATTTGTATTTATAAATTTTTTAGGAACGAAAATAAAATTTTAATAAAAAATAAAAAAAATTAAAATATATAATAATTTATAATTTCGAAGAAAAATAGAGAAAATACTTAAAATATATAATAATTTAAAATTTTAGAGGCAGTTGTCTCAATTAGAGAATCATCTTCATAATATATCAGCGAACTCTAATTTGGAATATTTGATCGATAAATCATACATATATGGTTAGATTTTTATAAGAAACAAATGTTTTCAAGACGAATCTTAAGAGATTTTTTATTAATCTGGAGTAAGTATAAGGTAGTGTTGTTCAAAGAATAATCACAACTATCTAACATTGAACGCTTACATCTAATATTTTTAGTGTTCGAACCTGAGATTTTAAAAAATAATAATTTTTTTACTGTCGAGATCGTCTAGTTCGTGTTGCGGGTTTAGTTTTATGACGATGAAACAATATTGCTGGAAACGTACAGCAATGTGTTATCTTCTCCGATTTTCTTCACCGCCACTTGGTTTACATGCAAGAGTTTCACAACACCCATTTAAAGCAAAACAGTGAGAATTCACTCAACGCTTCACAAAAAAATAATCAAGAAAGCTGCAAAAATGGCGGATAGAATGGGTGGTCGAGCGTCGTGCAACGACAGGTGTGGCCGTCCTTCCCCGTGTCCCGGTGGCATGGCTTGCAGGATAACTATTTCTTCCCCAAAACCTCTTTAAACATGCAAATATCTTCTTCATCACTAATTACGTTCCACAATTCCACCTATTCGTTATAAATAGTTAGTGACTAATTCGTTTTTTTAAAATTTAGTTGGAAAAAAAAAATTCTACTCAAAATTTAATAACTATTTGTGATTTTTACCCGTGAAGAAAACTAACACAATTTTCTGATATCCCTTTCGTGTCGTTTACGCTATAACCGTAAATGAGTCGAGATAGATCTCGAACTAGTTGAGATCAATTTGGTCAAAATTCGATAATTACACGACTCAAATGGATTTGAGTTTGAATTCAACTAAGTTCATAACGAATCGAAACGAGATGCTTGATACTCGACTCGAAAAGCTCGTGAACAACTCGAAAATATAATATATTAAGATTTTATTTTTTTAAAAATAAATTATTAATAATATTAACATTTATGTGTTGAATTTTTTTAAAATACAGTATAAAATTATTGTGTATTTAATGTTCAAGTTCAAATTTGAGTTTGAAGTGTTAATTGAGTTAAAGACTTTTTTATTTTCGAGTTTTTATGAGTTTAGGTGCATGATTTCGATTTAGTGTCGAACTTAAAAGTTTTAGACTCACAAATTTTCGAGTCAAATAAAACTAAACAATATTCAAACTCAACTCGATTTATTTACATCCCTATCGTCTATAGTGCATGTGAGGAGTAAGGTTGATAGATATTTTTCTCTGACAATACAAACCGACCACAGACAGTTGTGAATCTTTGTCTCCTTCAACAGCACAAACTATCGGGACTCGACCACTTCCCTGCTCTTTTCACAAATCCATGGCCTACCTGGTTGTTTTTCAATAACCGGGAAAAAACCCTGAGAGAAAGATGGTTCACGACGAAGTTAGAACCCAATTTTTTTTTTAGAATAGAGTATTAAAATTTCGTACCCTCATTTTTCAATTCTAGATCCGCCACTATAACCAGGTTTTAGTCCAATTTTCAAGAGTTTTCACTGTCTGATCGATGATAATATCAAGGAAATAACGGAACAGGTGCACACCGACGGAGGAGACCACGAGCGGGACCGATCACAAGCGATTGTGGCTGCAATCCATGCACATGCAGCCTGGCCTAAGCTGTCACAGGGACCGGTAAGCCGTTCTGCAAATGCGGGACGGGTTGCACCTGTGTTACTTGCACCTCCTGAACACGAATCGAATCAAATGTCGGCGTTATTATTAGCTTTGTTGTTGTTGTTGTTTCGTAATGTACGGTGATAATAATGGCAGTTCTTGTGAGAAAGAGTGGTGTTACTGCCAGTAAATGAGCTGCAAAATCTGGGTTTTGCATGTTTGATGCTGAAGTACTGTATTTATGAAATGTGAAACTATGCAATTCTAGATAATTTCATATCCTAAAATCAGATCGAGTTCGGATCAAAATAATCTACTCTGTTGTCATCCTTATTTGGTAAGTTACAGTATGCTCTTTCCATAGATCCTTGTCCAAATATCTTAAATAAAAGCACACCTCGCCGTCCGATTTCACCGTCAACGCTGACTGGTATCTCGTTCCATAACGCCCCTGCACAGACCCGAAAAATGAACTCAACTTCATCAATTCACATTCACCTCAACTGATACGACTAAAGATTACCTGAGAACGAGTGGTATCTATGTAAATGGCACTCGTAGGATGTTCAGCCTCGGGGGGGGGGGGGTATATTTGAGGTAATGAGCTTATATCATCTGTAGTGGTGTCCGTCATTAGTCCGGCAACCATCTCTTTAACCAGAAGTTCATCGTCGTTACCGTATTTAGCCAACGCTTCCCTAAAATTTCGATCCAATCGTCGAGCCTGAATGACCGTGAAACTAGAATGAGCCTATAAAACTTGGAACATACAGGACGAGATCAACAAGTGAATATGCATGAAAAATAACATACTTTGCAAACAAGAAATCCATTTTGACATCAAGGATATCCACTACATGATCAAATTCGAATGTATATGACTATTAATTTTATAAACATCGAACACCAGATCGATCGAGCCTTGTCAAACAAGTAATCAAAGCTAAAATTGTTTAAACAGATCACGTATCGATTAACATGCAAACTTACCTTGAGCCAAGGTGGATCCAGATTTGCATTTGTTAGCACGTGAATCCCAGGCGAAACCTCTGTAACAAAGTTGCCGTCTTCTTCCGGTCGGTTCGTTAGATAAACCATGGATTTCGAACGAATATCGACCAGTATTAGGTTGAACCCATTATACTGATCTACCTCCTCCACTACTTCTTCTGCAAATTCAATGGGCTTCTTCTTACTCTGAAATTATGAAAAACCCCACAATGATACTGAGGATTTCTTAACAAAATTCATCCCCACCAAGAGGAATTTGTACAAATGAAAGTACCATAAGCGTGCTCATTTAAAGATCAAGATGAAACAAGTAATGGCAACAACTGAACAAGCAGTATGATCATAAGAAGATAGGTTACTTAGACTAGGTTGAGCGTCCGACACGAGTATGCTCAAACTTTTCCAAGATTTCCATAAATTTGGAGTCTTTGGAGAATCGTACTCTTATATCAGTGTTCGGATATGTGTCGGATACGAGTATCAAAAACTGATTCTAAGAAAAACATGAGTCTGAACACTTGGATCAAAAGTTTTCCAGATATTACAGATTCATAGGATAGGATCATGCACTAGTAAACTAGAAGAAAAGGATCTCAGACCACCAAATTATAATCAATTACCATAACAGGCAATTCTTTACACAAGAAAAACCCATCTAATATTTGCTCTGGTAATCTAAGTTACTCAAATTCAAGTACGATTGTCGGATATAAGTATGCTTCCGCTACGGATGTGGTCACATCACCATATCCGTGCGTGACACGAACGTTTAGAGATATAACTGGCGATTAATGAAAATCTTGGTACCTAATATTGATTTTATCATATGCACTTCTCCAAGAAAATAACATGGCTAATATTTGCTCTTGCAGCCTATGTTATTCAAACTCGAGTGCGAGTGCCAAACTAAGTATGCGAATACTACGGACATGGTCAGATTTGCTTAGCCTTTTCATGTCTTTGGAGGATCCTTGGAGGAGGATCCTCGGAGGTCATATTTCCATATACATGTGTCAGACATGATTATCAGACACGAATATTTTTTTTGAATAGTCTGGGGTGATTATAATGTATCATCTGTTCAGAATATTTTTAATCATTGACAAGACATACACTCTGCAGACGCAGCTGCTCGAACCCGGGACCTCTAGTAAGAATAATACTCTCTTTTACTACTAAGGTCACTTGATGAATTATAGACATGGAAAAAAGGGCTGGGAATCTCGGAGAAACTGATATTAGATTTGTGTCTATCTGGTGCTCATAAGGAGGATTGCCTACTGCAATCCGAATTCAGATTAATCCACAATAATTGTTTTCTTCACTGATCTCCATTGATAGTATCCTAGTTCCTTCAATGGGGCTCCGTTATGCTAAGTGAGATTCAACAACACGGGGCGATCACTCGACTGAAAATTTTCTATTGATAATATGTTTTCGCCCTTAAATTTCTTTATAGATTAGCATACTAAAATTTTATAGTTCGACTTCTAACATAAAATCTTGTGTGAGTCGTGAACGCGCGAGTCACTAAATACTTGCACAAAAGATCAAATACATACCAGAAAACGAAAAAGGGTTCTTCAAAATCAATCATAAAAACATGGAAAACAAGTGATTCCAGAGATTGAATCAATAAGAAAAAAAAAGAATGAAAAAATTACCTTTAAGAAATCAACAGGGAGATTCCCTCTGCTTTTAGCTTGAGGAATCGATTGAAGTTCCCTAAAATTGGTGAGAAAAGCGATCCTTCCATCTCTCGAAGAAGCCAGCCATGTCCCACCAGCTTGCCCATCTCTCCCTCCCAGAATCTCTCCACCTTCCCACCAAATCAATGGCTCGGTCGGCCTTAGAAAAACCCAAAATTTCCAACAAAACAAAAAATCAAAACAAACAAGTACAAACAAACAAGGCAATCGGAGAAGAAGGTGTAGCTTTACCGATTGTGATTCTCGTCTCTGTTGAAAAGCAAAACGAAAGGGTAAAGTGGGTGGGTCTCCCACATAAACACCGCTATGCACATGTATCTTTTAGTGCTGAAATCCGCCTGCAAAAATGGAACCCACCGGATCTTTAATGGCTTTGGGGTTTGTGATCTTCACAGTTTTTCCCCATTTGGTAGGCGGCAGCTGCTTATATCAGCTCCGACTAATGGATGATGAAAGGCCAAATTCCATTAGTCCAACAAGTGGATAGCCTATAGGAGGTCCGTACTATTCAAAACCTCGTGATGTTTTAGTAACATGCCAAATAATAGGGTAAATTACAAGATTAATATCTAAATTATTAGTTTTATTCGGTTTTAATATATAAACTTTTGATTTTTTAACATCATACTAAACGTTTAGTTTTTATTTATTTTAGTAGCTTGCCGCTAAAAACTTAACAGGTGATCTACACCGCATGACTCCTTTTTTATGGGTAAATTGTATCTTCCATCATTCAACTATCTTTTCACTCATATTTTGGTCACCAAAGTTTAATTTTTTTAATTTAATTACTTAATTTTCAAATTAATCCTAATTTAATCATCCTAACTTTTAATTTTTATTTTTAATTTTAAATTAATAAAATAAAAATAAAAATGTAATGTAATGTAACATAAATTATTAATAAAATAATTTAGAGTGATTAAAATAGGAGTAATTTGAAAATTGAGTAGTTAAATTGAAATTTTTTAAATTTTAGTACAAAACAGGAGTGAGAAGATAGTTGAGTGATGAATGACGTAATTTACCTATAAAGAAATGTAGTGCCTTGAGTTTTTAACGATAATGTATTAAAATGAAATAAAAACTAAATTTAAGTATATTTTTTAAAAGAAATTAAAAGTTTAGATATTAAAATAGATTAAAATTGATAGTTTAATTACTAAACACGTAATTTACCCTAAATGATATGGCAATATACATTGGTGATTTCTTTTGTTTGTGGTCTATTCGAATTTGGGCCCAGTTTTGAAGAAGTTAAGTTTTGGTCGTTTTTGTTTTCAACCCGTCTCAATTTGGTTACTGTATTGTTAAGTTGCGTGAGTAAAAATGATTAAATTTTAATTTGATCCCTAAATTTTTCATAAAATACTAATTTGATCTTTGATTTTATATAAAATATGAATTCAACCTTTAAACTTTAAAAATAATAGTTAACAATTGGAAGAAGAAATCACGACGCTTAAATGAGAGATCTAATCTCTCAACCCTCTTTGGGTTTTAGCTGTTTCACGTGAAGCCTGTCTCAAGTGCTTAAAGAAAAAAATCAGTCATTATATCTCCAATAAATATTTTGCATGTCTAATATTTTCCCATTATTTTCGATATTCGATAAAGAAATAAATTTCTACACATATTTTACTTTTAGAGTTTATGGTTTAAGGTTTAAAGTTTAGGGTTTAGAGTTTATGGTTTAGAGTTTAGGATTTAAGGTTTTACGATAATTGTCCGATGATGTATTTTACCCTAAAAGTATTACCAATATTTCGTATTAAATTATAAATTTTGAGACATGGTTGAGTAATATGAAATTCGGCAAAATTTTAGCCACCTAAAAATTTACATGCCACTTGAGTGTTCTTGATCGGTTGTCACTCACACTTCCGACATGGTGACCAAATATTGAACAAATTCACCTTTCAATCCTATTTAAAAATGCATTTTCACCCCCTAAATATTTCATTATTCACATTCTCATCTCCAATCTACCCATGGAAAGTGAACCTTTGTCCAGAAAAATCTTCACCGTATGCAAGACTTTGGTACGGAAACTCGTGTTCCGAGTCCTCCGAACCGGACCAATGCCCTCTCACATCGCCGTGATCATGGACGGGAACCGGAGATACGCTAAAAGGAACCGCTTAAACGAAGGCGCCGGCCACGACGCTGGTGCTATGGCCCTCTTCTATTTGATCAATTATTGCTACGAACTTGGCATAAAATACATCACGGCATACGCTTTTAGCACCGATAATTTCAGGCGGAAGCCGCAGGAAGTAGGGAAAATAATGTCGTTGTTGCGGGAAAGCATCGCGCTACTAACCAAGATAACGAAGAACCAGCCGGTGAGAGTTCACTTCGCGGGAAACCTCGAGCTCTTGAGCGCGGAACTTAGGGACGGAGCTCGTAAACTCATGGAGGCGACGGCTGAGTATTCCAAGATCGTCGTCACGATCTGCGTGTGCTACTGTTGCTCGGACGAGATCCTTCATTCCGTTGAACAGTCTTGCCTACAAAAGTACTATAAGCATAGTTACGTAAGAGATAGTCACGACGACGAGAACGGCGAGAGGGATGTAATAACGTTGGTCGATATCGAAAAGCATATGTACATGGCCGTTACACCGGACCCCGACATCTTGATCCGCACCGCGCACGAGCACCGGCTAAGCAATTTCCTTCAATGGCAGACTAGTTACTGTCAGTTGGCTTCATTGCCCGTTGATTTTCCGGAATTGAATTCATGGCAATTGACGTGGGTGATTTTGAATTTTCAGCGAAGCTACAAGTATTTAGCCAGAAAAAAATTGCAGCGTTAGTCCTTGAAATTTTCTATTATTCACATCAACCTCCTTTGATCGCATTATTGACATAATAACATGTGACATGTCTTTGGATTTTTTGTTTCGCATAGTAATATAATATTGTCTTTGAAATAATAGAATGTTCAGCATGATTTTGTCAACGTTTTTTGCTTGGTCTAAAAGGGAATGTCTCAGGTACGACAGTATTAATATACGGCTAAGGGAAGACATTGTCGGAAACATTATTATTTTTTAACATTTTCGTTAAAACGCTACCTAAAACTTTATTTTTTTACAAAAAATGTTATTATTGTGCGCTACCTAAAATGCTTAACATTTCTGATAAAGCGCTACCTAAATCATTATTTTTTCTACCAAAAATGTTAATATTGTGTTATACCGGAAATTAGTTAGAAAATAACATTTTCGGTAAAAAAAATATAACATTTTAAATAGTATTTTACCGGAAATGTTAAAAAAATAATTTTTCTGGTAGCGTCTTTTTTTATTTGTATATTAAGTCTGCAGTACAACAGAACTACCCGGTTCTAAAATCACCTCCAAACACTGCATTTCGTTGTCTCAAGTTTATTGTCAATTTGAGGACTTCAAATACCATAGACTTAATTACAAAAGCGATCACTTTCGTTTATGTTTTATTCACTTTTTTCACTGATTTCAAAAAACATAATATTTGATCATTTTCGTTATTTAATTAAGATATGATCACTGATGGTTTACTCCCATTAGACTTTTAACGGATTATTGACACGACGTCTTAAAAAAAGAGTTTAATTGTATTTTAACCCCTGAACTTGATATAAAATTTTAATTATGGGCCCTTTTTTGTAAATCTAAAATAATTTAGGGTTTTATTATGGCCTCTAATCACCATTACTCTAGTCGTCTATTACCTCCTAAACACAATCAAAAACCGATCACTGCTATCATCTATCCCAAGCAAACCAAAATCAACACCTAAACTAAAAAAAAAACCACCAACACAACCAAACAAAAAAGGGACAAGAAAAATGGAAAAGATTACCGTCGGTCATAGTGGATTTTCGGCGGTTGGAGTGTCAAACTCTCAATCCCAACGGTGAAGAGGTCCTACTTAGGGAGGAGACCAACATAATTCAAAATCGTTATCGATTTGTTCTATTTAAATCCATACACCATTAATTTCTGTTAAGTGTTACGTGGCAAGTAAAATATTTTAAAAAACCCACGTCCTACGTCAACTCTTCTTTTTTCTTCTTTCATCTTTATTTTTTCTTCTTCTTCATCTTTTCTTTTTTCATTCTCTCTCAAATAAATCTTGCTCCATTTGTCTCAAGAGAAGCTCTTAAATCCCGGTGGTCGTCCGCCTCTCACCGCCGGCATTAGACGTCACCGACAGCCATCGGCCACCACCCTCCACGTGTCTCTTCTTTTTCTTCTTCACATTAAATCTCATTGAAAACGGTTCTCTTTACTATTTTATTCATTAATCTTTTAATTTTGTAGAATACATTATAAATGATTTTTTTAAAAGTTAATATATTTTGATTAATGTTAAAAAATATGTCCATATATTATTTTAAAATATATGTTATGATTAATATATTTTCATAAAATTAATTTCTCATAATAAAAACAAATTAAAAATTAAGTACTTTTTATATATTTTGAAAAAGTGATAATCAAAATACAAACATTTTTATATAATTTCTCTTTGAGAAAATAACTTGAGTGACCGAAAATGCCTTATAATATACGATTTTAGCCAACTTTGTTTGGATTTGCAAAAATAACCATCGAATTCGCAATTCAATTTCGAATTTGCAACTCGATTTCGAATTCGCAACACGGTTTCCAAATTCGCAACACAGAAGTCATATTCAAAAAAAGTTAGTTAAAATCGTATATTATAAAATATTTTCGGTCACTCAAGTTATTTTCTCTTTCTCTTTTTTTTATTACCCTCTAATTCTAAGGTTCTGTCTGTTGTCATTTCAATGAGCAGAGCCAAAAATGTAAAAAAACGATAAACGATATTAATCAAGAACGGACATAAGATTTTATATTAATTGAAGCGAATTTGATTTAAAATTTTAATTTATAATAAAAATACATAAAAAAATATAACATAATTTTAAGTTTTTAGTAAAGAATGAGTGTCTTCATCCGTTCTCTCGGTGCATCCCACTTCTCAATGTATAAACAAAAGGGTTTTTCCGGATGTTCATTTATCACAATCTCCTCTTGAATTTTAGCCAAAAAGGTTGACGAAATTGTCGATCTTTACACGTCAAAACAAATGTTCAAAAATAGGTCATATGACATAACAGTGACACTATTAGCGAAAATGCCCTTTCCGGGTTCGATTCAGCGGGTAAAATTAAGAGTTACAAATGGTCCAAATCCCAAAGGGGTTGCAAAGTAACCCACAACCATGAAAAGGAAAATACAGAGGGAACTAACTACAACGCAAACATACCATAAAGATGGCCTCTCACTCCCCTACATTGATAGATACCTCTTCCCTCGGAATCATACGTAACGATTTTAGCATAACACGTACCCGGAGATTAACGTACTTATAATGCCCACGACGAGAGATCCGGCCGAAACCAAAAGCACCGAAGAGCCTGAGCTGCCGGGGGCGGGTGCCGGTGCCATCTCGTTTGTGCTTTCTGAGGACGCTGTGGGTGCACCTGCTGTTGCTGAGGGTTGCACATCTGCAATATTTGGCAAGGAATTGAGAAGTTTAGATTTAGTAATGAAGAATAAAGGAAGGGTCATAAAGGACCTTATTTGCCTAAATCCAAAATCTTTTTGAACATGTCTCGAACATGAAATCTATTGCTTAAAACTAGCTCATTTTATCAATCTTATGTACATATACATATTCATATATGTAGAGATGGATTGAAATGGACTATCGCGATATCGCCACTTCTGAAAATTTCAAATTCTCGTATAAATTATCTTTTTGTATTTTATATTGATAATATGTTTTCATCTATAAAATTTTATAAATTTGTTATTTAACATGAAATTATGGGTCCATCCCGACATATATGTGAAGATAAAGGATCAGATTCATGAGCACACATACCTGGAGCACCAGTTGGAGTGACAGACACTGCCAAAACACAAAAGAACAACATTGTTACTTATTAATCATCAGTTCTAGAACCAAAAATCCATCATTTTTGCCTTGTTCAAATGAATAAATGCATGAACATGATGCTTCATTTCTTTTCCAGATTGAACTAAAAGTTGAAAATTTCCCCATGAAATTGTCACATTGTAAAGCAGATAACAAATTTAATGAAGATCCCACCATTTGTGCTATAAGAAAAGTAGCAAGAACACAGCCTTTAATCCAAAGTCACTCACAGGCGCAATTGGTGGCGGAAGGAGCAGAAACTTTGCAAGCGGCGGGCAGAGTGGAGGCTTTGGTGACATTAAGAGAGACACCCATAGAAGCACTGCTCTTAAAAGCTTCACATAAGCACTCCGGGCCCGTTTTCAGCACGGTTTTCAACCCGGAACAGCAAGTTCCTTCCGGCTTCGACACTTCGCTCCCGCTCGACACGAACGACAAACAATCCGCCATGTTCAGGATCAGAGTCGAGCAGTCCACGGCGGGGGTGGTGGAGGAGGAGGAAGACGGTGATGGCGCCGTCGCGTGGTGGTGGGCGGCATCAACGGCTGAGATTGAGAGAATGGCGAGGAAGAAAGCAAAAGTTAATATTGAGACCGCCATTGCCGCAAAGGAGTGGGTTTTGGAGCTTTGGTTTTTGGAGGAATTGAATTAAAGGGAAGCGAGGGGATTTTATTGCAGGGGAGAGGGAGAAAATGTATTTAAAATAATAAATAAATAAATAAATTTTATTATATGTCCCCAAATTATGATCCCCATTTTAAATTGGTCCTTAATCTTTTGAATATTCCAAATCATTCCTCAATTATAACCCTCATTCTAAAATAGTCCTCAAATTTTTCAACATTCTAATTTCATCAACAAACTATGACTCCCATTTTGAGTTAGTTCCCAAACTTTTGAATCTTTCAAATTCATCCCTAAATTCATCCAATATATAATTAGTTTCAACCATAGTTTAGCTTGATTTTTTTCAAACATATAATAATATATATTGACCTAATGGTTTTATTAACAAGGAATGTGATTAGCATATACCTATAGTTTGAGATGGAAGTGAAATGTTTAAAAGTTTGGGAACTAATTTAGAATAAAGGTTAAGTTTAAGGATGAAATTAAAATGTTCAAAAGTGGAACACTCATATCCCGTATATAGTCATGTATACGAGCTAGAGATGTCACATTAACCGTATAAAACATATATTGTTCAAATTTCATTAAAACTTTTGGTTCATTCAAAATTGACCATTATAATTAAAAACACAATAATAATAAATCTCATTGAAAATTGTAATATATAATTTACATATACGAAATAAAAATACTATTTAAATTTAATTTGTAAAAACTACTATTTATCATATTAAATTTATTATATTTTAACGGTAATAATTTTTACATTACAAAACCATAATTAAAACATATATCAGAGCAACTAAAACTTCTTTAACGTACATGCCACAAACAGATTAAAATAACAAATCAGAATGTCCTTACCGATTCCAATGGCAGACCTAACTTCTCGAAAACGATGATAATACACTCCTACTTTACACGTTCGCTTGTACCTACGTGTAAAACATTCACATGCGAAGTTTTCACGAGGCAACCAAATAAAATAAAATATTTTAACAGATAAAATTGTTGTGATCGAAGAGGCTCAATTGAACAACCGAAATTGTTGCAAGGGAGTGAATTGACAATAATTTATTTAGGGAGTAAGGAGAGTAAAAGATAGAGAAAAATATGGCACAAAGATTTATAGGGGTTCGACTTATCAACCAAGTCTACCTTCACTACCTTAGCTCCTCCCTAAATATTTTCTAACAAATTCACTAATTTGTTCTTTCTTTTTCAAGGACAA